GCTGAATTTAATTCACGTTCGGGTAGACAGAATATGAGCCACTTTTCGCAAAGCCAAATTTAGGCCACGTTTCGTAAAGCCGACTTTAAGCCACGTTTCGTAAAGCTGAATTTAAGCTACGTTTCGTAAAGCCGACTTTAAGCCACGTTTTGTAAAGCTGAATTCTAAGCCACGTTTCGTAAGGCCGAATTTAAGCAAAATTTCGTAATGCCGAATTTAAGCCACATTTCGTAAAGCCGAATTTAAACCAGGTTTCTTAAGACCGAATTTAATCCGCGTTTAGTGTGGTCGAATGTAAGCTACATTTAACGAGGCTTACTGATTTACAGAGTGATATCTTTGAGTGCTTTACATTATTTTTGCCTGCTGGTTAAACATAATGCACGCCATAGCAACACCTAAACGTTTCGCATATTCCTTAAGAGTAAGAGGACAAAGAAATAGAAAGTAAGCTTAACATACCAGGTAACTCAACCGTGGAGCAGCCTTCCATGACGAATCACCCAACCCTGATACAAACAACAATTACATGCAATATCGGTGTGGTAACTACATGCTGTGTGCCATCCTTAAACATCAAACCATTGTACGCTAAATATATACCTGCAGTCTCAAGGCAACAAGCTTCGCAGTAACCCTGTGGGATGCAATTTCTCGTTATTTTGAAGCCTCACCCTGGCTGTAGCCGGCGGCCATAATATAACCCAATGGTTGAGCGCGGTTTCTGGGTCTTCTCCACGGGTGATCCTCATTCAGATGGTGTCACTTTGTGTCACCGGGTGTTTATCGCTCAGTCTGATGCCCTTGTTTGTTTTTTTTTTTTTTTTTAAGTCAGCCAGTCAACTGCAAAAATATCAAGAAAAGATATAAACCCGAACTAAAAGTATATTAGCAAGCTTCACAATATAACAAATACAAACAAAATGTGAACGTTGCATCTATTGAGCCTTCATCAGCACATACACATTAAATAATACTACATAGATACACAGAAGTCAACTGCAAAGAACTGCTGGCAGAGTTGATAAAACGCTGAAATCTCGTGTTGGATATCCAGATTTGAATCCTAAATGAGGATAGAGTTCATTCTCTATATATGTATCCGTGCATACACACATACACAAACACATGTACAGACACCAACATATGCCCACACCCACACATTTTCACTCACATGAATACATACACTCACATACATGCATACATTCACACATATATGTGCATGCATACATACATTTATACATAGACACATTTTTGCACACATACATACATACCTAAATACACACACACATGCTTACACAACTAAATATGCATACATACATCCACCCACATACATACATATACACACTAGATGGGGAAGGGGCTTAGGACATTGCATCCACCAGCAAGGGTCGCCCCTATAACAACCTGACTGCCTTCGTTAACGACTGTTCACCCAACAGCCATGCAGTTCTTTGGCACGAAGGAGACACCTTGAACTTGGGTTTCGGACTGCCGACTCCCTACAAGATGTTATGTTATTTCATGTTATCACAATCGACGTCACTGCACATGGGGTACCACCGTTGCAGCAGCCACTCCAAAGTACTTCTACTAATTGTTCCCATGATAAGTTGGTTATATTGTCTCCTATCTCGGCCTCGAAGACGGCAAAGACGTGCTTCACCATGCTTTACTCCCATGTCACGCAATCATGTTAGTGTCAGGGATTCCTCATTCTCCACTAGCCCAGTCCGTACAGCGTTGACGATATCTGCTCTGTCCATGCTTTTCCCCACAATCCTTAGTGCAGAGCTTGCCAGTTGGTCCGCTCGATCATTTTCCTTTATACCCGTATGACCCGGTGTGTAGATCCAGGTTAAGTGCGGTTTTCGAATGCTTTCTACCCATTCAGAGCGCATACTGCCTGTTGCTATCTTCTGAAACATATTCATGGAGTCTGATACAATAACTGCCTGTAGGGCGGTTTGCTCGGATACCCATGCTTAAGCTCTAGAAGCAGCGGCTATTTCCATGGTCATGCTTGACGTGGTTGTCTGTCTAGTAAGCTCTGCTGTCCTCCTGTATTGTTTTCCCTCTTCTTTGCGCTGTGTATGCCTATGCTGACCTTGATCCGTTCTCCACGGATCCATCTGTGTAGATGATGATATCTTTTAGGTCTGAATGTTGATCTATCAGTTCTCTTACTTCTGTGTCTACGGCCGCAGGAATCTGATCCCGACGGTACCTTCCGAGTGTGATGACAACCTTAGAGATGCCATGCATGTTTCAACAGTGGTACCTAGAGCTGACCATACATTGAGCAGTGGCAAACTACTGAACCTGAAATTTGCCTAGAAAAACCACGAGCCAAAAAATGCTAAAGTTGGTTCTGCAACGTCCTGTAAAGGATACGTAACTAACTTTAACTCTGAAAGTCTAATCAGGTCCATTACTCTGTGGAATTATCTGCGCTTGTTTCGTCTCTCTTGTTATGGAATACCAAACTGGTTTAATTGTT